CCCCCCCCCACCTGATCAGTGATTGGGTGATTGAGCTACCAGGTAAGTGCAGTAGTCGCAAACTTGTTACGGAAGGTGTTCTGCGCCGCACGGCGGGTGCCTGGCTCACCCGTTGCTCTTCGTCATCCCACAGCCCTCGCGTCTCGGTTGTCTATGTTGCAGCAGCGTTCCAACTGTATATATGCCATCGTTCATTTCTATGCGATCGTTTTTCAAGGCAAGGGCTGAGTGTTCCTCTTCTTCAAAGGTCATTGGTTTTGTCAACGTAAGGGTCGAACCGGTGTCTGTTACAAAGAAGTGTCGCGCTTCACGACTCCCCCTTTTTTTTCTGCTCTTGTGTCGGCGGCGGCGGTGACGACGAACAGACGACGGAGACTTCGACTCGTTGCTGAGGGCGGTGGAACGGCTGGCCCTCAACGACGCGGCGATCGAGTGGGAGAGGGAGCAGAGCCCGGCGCTGGGCATGGGGCTGAGGATGGGCTTTCTTGGCGTCCTGCACATGGAGGTGATGATGGTTCGATCAAGCCCACACCGAGATTGATTGGCAAGCAGGGCGCTTGGTTGGCAGAGAGAGAGGTTGATCCTCGAGGGAATGTCTTGCACGATCGTGCAGTTTAGAGGGAGTTTCCTCGGCGTTGTTGGCCATGGAAGCGGCACTGTAGAGGACAGCGTTCATGGAAGGTGAAAGGACCGGCAGAGATATGGGCTTGAGTAAGAGGTGTCTTTTTCGCCCCTGTTGTGTTTTAGGCTACTTGCTGGGCTTCCATGCCGATGGGGACAAGCCTGTGAGTTGTTTTGGGTTGTCCGGCGCTACGTAGTTGGCTCGGTGGAGTGTGTACGTCAGGAATGCTCGTGTTACGCGGTGCATTTCATAGTGTTTGGCTCTTTGCTTCTGCACCCCTCTTCGGCTGCCCGTGTTCATGTGGCTGCTGTGTTTCTTGCCGCTGTCACTGCTGCTGCTGCTGCTGCTGCTGCTGCTACTGTTGCTGTGCGGCTGACGTCACACGGTCGCTTGGGCATTCATTCACTCTCTTGGATGGGATCGGATCGGATCGGAACGTTTTTGTGCAAGGGCAGGTTTTTCACCAGCGTCTTGTCGACGAGTTCGACACTCCGGTTCTCCTCACCACTCCGACGGTTCCCTACCAGTGAGTGGCACATGCGATTTCGAGAAGCGAAAATACAACAAGGCGAACGAATTGCGCTGAAATCCATCACGGGGATAATACCTACCCAGGTGGCAGGGCATTGCGATGTTTGCACGATGCTTTCGGGCCGTAGAAAGTGATGACCAACGACTGTGAAACACGCGCGATATTCGCCCAGTCCAAGCCGGGTACCCACCTCCACCTGTGTGGCAATGATGTGGGCCCATATCATACTCCGCGTCGGAGCACGAGTTATGAAGCTGCTGTGACGCTCGTCGGTTTTTGACATGTCGCCGAAAGTAACGCGGGCGATTGTGTACGTGGGGTCGCTGCTAAGCCTCTGAGCCTTCGTCCCCAAGCGAACCAGGGCAGGCGAAAGAAGGCGCTGGCGTCGGTGGCGTTTGAAAACAACCGTTTTTTTTGCTGAACCAATTCTTCCAAATCGCGGTGCCTCCACCCAGCGAGAAAGCCTCTATGGTTTGCACCAGAAACAGCGACGTCTGCGTGTTTGTTTTCAAGTGGTACCAGGGTCTCACTTCTGGTGAAGGAAACCTGCCCAATATATCTGCCGGCGGAACAGTACCCCCTTGCGCACGCCAGTCACCCTCCGCGTGCATCGAGCCTGTGACTATGCCCGAACCCTTTCTTCTTCGAGGCACGCAGCCCTCTCGACCGTTGCTCTTCAGCACGATTTCTGCGTCACGAATGTGTCTTGCCTGCTTTGGGATCGACCCATCTTTGTCTTTCCCGGCAACGCTTGTCGTTTTCGGAATGCGATTTTGCCTTCCGTGTTGTTTCTCTGTCTTGCATGTTGTTTCTAAGTCTTAAGTGTCGCAAGTCTGTCTTTACACTTCACATGAGCATGCCTGTTTTCATTCTGCTGTTGCAGGATTCAGCCATCTGGAGGGCGAGATCCCGTTACGGTGATCAACCTTTCCGATTGGCCCGACCCTTCGAAGAAGGACGGCTTGAAATTCAAGGTCAGGCACGAAATACGAGGTATCTACCCAGTAGCAATGGCGGAGAAGGGGGCATCGTTTCTCGTGTTTTTTTGTGCTGTGGTGGCTCGGCGCTAGACGTCTCTTCGTCATTTCTGGCCGCGCCCTTTTTCTTACCCGAGGCGAGATACTGCGAATTGTCTTGTGCGTGCGGGTGTCGCCTGTCTGGAGCCGCTGATTTCGAGGTCGCGAAACGACCTTTGAGATGCTGGCAGTTCGTGGCCAACATGCGTAGAAACATTGCCAGGTGCCAATACTACGTTTGCTCTTGTTCTACTGATGGTTCTTGCAGTTTTCCCAGTGGGGGGACTGTGCTGGCTGAGACCCTTTTCTGGAGTGCCCGTGAATTTTTGTTGTTTTTTCTTCGTTGGTTGCGCGGGTTCTTGTTCGCACCCGTGTTTAAGCTTGTTAATGTGTGCCGCTTTCCTTCCAGGTCCTGGAGCCCGTGGTGGACGCGACCATCATTACCCCGACGGAATGCCTGGGGGCAATGCTTACCTTGCTCAAGAACAGGAGAGGGCGTCAGACTTCGATAAAGTGGGTTTTCGTGCTTCTATATTTGCTTCCGTCTTCTGGTCCACTAAGAAGAACCAACTCAAATCTGTGAGCCTCCTCAGCCAGAGTTCTCTGTTTACTTTGTGGAATGATCCTTCTACTGGCGCGTGTTTCGCGTTTTGCTCTGTTCTTCCAGTCTAAAAACTTTTCATGTAGTGTTGGGAATGCATCTGCGATGGAACGTATTTATTCTTTGTAGACTACAGGCGTATCAAGGGTTTGGTGTTCAGATCAGTCACACTTGGTTTGTTGGTTGTTCAGGTCGTACGATTGCACTCTGTTCTTTTGTAGGTGTTGAGGTTTTGGTCAACCCGTCATGCAAAGCTCCACCCCGTTAGACGACCTATGTAGTACAAGGATTGGACCCCATAGCGTTCTGGCAGCCCAATGCGTATTCTGTTATGTAGTTCGCAAGCCTTGCTTACAAAGCGAAAAGACAACGGCGATTACACTCACACGGCGCAACCGCGCTATGTTTTTCGCCAATCTGTGTTTTCTAGGTACCTGGATGATGAGCGGGTCTTGCTGGAGTACAAGCTACCGTGGCAGGAAGTCGTGAGTGATCTCCACGACCAGGTGGGCCCTGGTCTGACTCGGTTCGCTTGTCCATGACTCGGTTCCTCGCAACTTCGATGTATTCATCCCCCAACTGTGTACTCCAACAGAAGCCAAACATATCAAGCACATCGCGCGCGCCTGAAACAGATGCGTCCAGGCAAGCGCGAGCGTGCTCCATCCTACAGAGTTGTCGACGAACGCACCGCCGTCCAAAACCAGCACCGTCGACCCCCTAGAAACCGAACAACAAAAAATCGAACCAACACGCCCGCAACACGCCCCCAAGCTTTCGCAACCTTTATACTGAATGGCTTGAAACGGGACCCGGGTCGCGCGGCTTAAATGGGCAGGCCAAGACGGTTTCGTCCGGGTACGCGAGCTTCGACTACTGCGCTGCCGAGCCCGAGGCTGCGGACCTGGTGAAGGTGGACATCTCCATCAACGGGGACTCCGTGGATGCCCTGAGCTTCGTCTGCCACCGCGACGCCGCGCAGAGGAAGGGGAGGGACGTAGCGAGGCGCCTGAAAGAGGTGGCCGCAACATACGTTTGGCTGTTCGATTATGTTTTTGGAGATGTTGACCTCGCTGGCTGGCTTATGAACCTCGTTTTTTTTCGTTGCTGTTGGTGCAAGACATGCAATAGGCGGGCGTTGGACTGGTTTCTGCGGCTCTACGGACGTGCGTGTGGTTCTTGATTGGGTTGAGATGGGTTGATGAGTTGACCTGAACGATGGAGAACTATCCGCGTTTACGGCAAGAAATGTTTCAGTGTCGGCTATGTACGTAGTCACACCTTCGCCGAGGTGAAAGCTGCCGGTAATCGAGAAAGCCCGTGACGGATTGATTCTGCGCCAATGTGCTTTCATCCGGAGTATCGTTACTTATCCCGCCTGCACTCTCTAACCCAAGTTTGGACTCTCTCAAGCAGTCATTCTGATCAAGTTACAGTAACACGTTAGACTTCCCCCACCGTTCGTTCTGCCTCATACATTGAGTTGTATCGGGATGTGCGTGTATCCCCTGTCGCGCTCTTTTGCCCTTATCCCGACGAGAGTACCTCCAATCTGACTCCAATCAACCCTAAGATGACTCTGTTGGACGCCGGCGGGGGAGAACCAAGGTTGCCTCTGCTATGCATTGGTTCTTCGGACCTCAGCTAAGCTGGAGAGGAGATGCCTGGCTGGCCGAGCTCGTGGCCTTTTTTTTGCGACAATCAAGTTGTTCACGTCGCGGCGCGTACGTACTCTGGGCAAGAGCTGGCTTCCGCACACGAAACGAAGCAGCCAGTACCTGTGCCTGGGTGTGCCTCACGCTTTTTGTTTCGCCCTTAACATGCATGCCTCTGTGTGCGTATTCAGGTCATCGACCGCCAGCAGTTTGAGGTGGTTGTGCACGCGAAGATGGGGGCGAGGCCCTTCGCCAAGGAGAGAATACCCCCCTACCGGTGAGGTTTTCCCTTTCCTTCCGTCCGTCTTCCAGGAACGAGCCGAAGGAGATAGGGAACTCGTTACAGTAGCAATCTTTTTCCGCCCCGACGCCTCCCGCGCGCCTGCCATTGGTCGAGGGCACTCTCTCTGGGTCGGGTCTCCAAGAGCGTGCGCAATACCCACGAACAACGTACAGATGTTAAAGCTGTCGATACATAGGGCAGGTGGAGGGAATTCACGACGAATTAGTACCGGTGTTGCGTGTTGGCCAGCGCCGACTACAACCAGAGTAGAAGGCGATCTGCGCCAGTTTCCGTGCTGGAGCTCAGTACTGAGTAGACCACCTCCTGCACACACACGCGCCTTTCCCTTTGATGTATTTATCTCTTCTTTGTTGCCGCAGGAAAGACGTACTGATGAAGTCGGGGAAGTTAGTCGGGGGGGGAGACTCTAGCCGCAAGAAGAAGCTGCTAGACAAGCAGAAGAAGGGGAAGGCCAGAGCCAAAACCGTGGGGCGCGTGCAGCTAAGCCAGGAGGCGTTCTGGGCCGTGCTCTCCGGCGGCAGCGGCACCGGCGGCGCTGGCGGAGGTGGGGGCCGGTAGTACCCGGTATATTTTCCTTTCAGGGGTGGCGAACGGCACGATGAATGTCGGAATACTTGGCCGCAAAAGGGGAGCAGACAGATTGAGAGTGCCTCCGGCAGTTGGTGTGAGTAGAGGCTGGCTCGGTGTTTCTCACCCCTGGGGGCAGTTAGACCACTCAGCGACGAGCGAGCATTGGTGTGATGGGGGCACAGGGAACATGACGGTGGCGGCTTGCATGTGGTAGACCAGAAGACATATGTTTGGTGTCGATACTAGGATCGAGCAGGATGGCATTAGATGACTCGTCACCCCTCCTCTTCGGCCTTGTCGCTGAGAAAACCCAAAGCTTGTGAGACTAGAATTTAAGTCTCAAGGGAGTGCTTCGAACGCATGTGCCAGTACACCCGGGGTCACGGTGTTCGGGAGTCAGGCAGAAGGCAGCAGGCATCGCGGTTTCCGAGTTCAGGGTATCCTGCGATGTTGACGAGCTTCCGGCATCAAAGTAGCCCGTGGCGCATGAGGCCGCACAAGAAGCTAGTCTTGTAGAGGAATGCGCGATACCGGAGAAAGACATGGACATCCTTGGTGCTTCCTGCGTTCCTCGCTAGTTGTCGAGCAACATAATAAAGAATTGTGTGGTCGCGTATTAGTTCCCGGAAACAGAAACTCGTGAGGTTAAGCTTGGGAGCTCGGGGTAGGGCGGTCGAGACTGATCGAAGAAAAAGCGAACGGTATCAACATGCCGTAACCACGAGCGGCACGAAACACGATGGACTCGAGTGGCGGTCCTTTGTTTGTACCGCTCGTGTAGGGGCCGGCAACAGTCACTCGATAGAGAATGGGCGGTGTGTTTTCCCCTCCTGAGCATCGCACGATGTATCAACCGCCTCAAAGAAATTAGCCAAACGGAAGACATGCCGATATCCCCTCAATCCTAGGTCCCGCTTCACTGCAAACAATGCGTGCATGACTGTCCTACAAATATGAATCTGGCTGGTGGTCGCCGAACGGCCTTTCATCGGACCAAATCCAACGGGTGCAGCGTCGCTGCCATTTTGAATGCCACTGTGGACTTTGCTCGAGTTGTCACAGCCCTCCTGTTTGTCATGCGACTGGCTTTCCAATGTTGGTCGTGCAAGACACGTGACGGAAGCCACTGCCCTCTCTACCTTGCGGGGGCGAAAAAGTTCGCGTTCACAGCACACAGGGCGTCCATGACGGCTGTTTGGAAAAGAGCCTAATACATGATTGTTCTGCAAAGATACGCAATTCTCTCGCACTGCCAGGTGAAGGACGGCCAACTCTGTTTTAAATGTAGGCTTCCTTCACGACCGCAGGTGGATGCATAGCTAAGCTGCACACTGGGATAGGACGACCGAGAAACAAGGCAAACCAGCAGAATGATTCGATGCGGACGGACCCTACCTAACCCTACTTCCTCCCTCGCCCAGCCCCCCGCACCTCTCCCCCCCAGGGGGAGGGCACTTGACATCCGACCCCCTTTGTACACAACCGCTTGACCCATATCGTTGCACTCTGTGACTAGGTCTGCTTACAGCGGTAAACCAGCGTGTACAGGTTGTGCTAGAGACAGATGAGACAACACGAAGTCCCCCTGACTTTTTGCACTACACCTACTTTCCTCCCCCCGCGTCGTAATTCAAGAGCTGAATCTTCGGCGCCCACCAAAGGATGTTCCTCGTAAAGACGTGATAGTAAAAATGTCGGCATCCCCACGAGGAGTACGCGACCGTGCTTCATACGTGCTTCTGCTATGATATGCTTAACATGTTTGCATGCAACTGCCCCCAACCCAACTGCCCTCCACATACTCATCGAAAACGACTGAGTGGTTTCTTCCACCCATTGCTTACACTGTGCTCTCATCCTCTGAAATTGCTATCATCTCCCCTGCTTTACACTGATGCCATGTCAAATGTGGGAGTTTGCCTCATATAATAACCTACACACACAAGTTGCGGTGGTATACAAGCTGTAGATGAGTATCAGCTAGGCAATCTCCCCCTTGACTGCCGAGAGGTCTTTCTCCCCCGCCGCCATAGCCTTCTCGAACGAGATGACCTGCGTGACCCCGTCGATCATCTTCTGCACCAGCTGCACCTCGGTGAACCCGATGCGTTGCTTGTTAGAGACGTCGAACTTGTCCTCGACAGCAGCGGAGTGCTCGCCAGCGGACCCTCTTGGCTGCAAGTCGAACTTGTCGCACACCTGAGGCGCCGAAATTATATCAAGTAAAACGCAGGATTGAGTGGCGATATTTCTGGAGGCCGTGGAAGGACAAGTCGGTGGTGAAGGCGACGGTGGCACGTCTGTCAACAAAGGTAGGGAGGACATTCCAGCACTGCACCCCCGGTAGACTAAAGGCGTTTAGCAAGCCCAACAAGACATACCACAGGATACGCAAGAGAGCTTCCAACGATAGAGGCAACAGTGACAGAGAATACCTGCGTCCGTCCGCGTTCCGATGGCAACGTGGAGCTCAAACCTTCAGGCACGCTGAAGCCTCTCTTACTGAGGACAGGACTAGTGCCGTGAAACGGACGATGTACCCTAATATTTCCCACTTCCTCTCTCACCTGTTCAAGCACTTGACGCGACTCTTCAGTTTCGTTGAACTTGGGGAGCTTGATCATCACACTTGCACGCAGCCCGGTGCCGAGGTTGGACGGGCAGGTACCGAGGAAGCCAAGCTTGTCACAGTACCTGTTGCAGCACAAAAGTAGGCGCGAAGTGTCTATGAGACAGCGTGCACGTACGATGTCTAGCAGTGGAGAGCAAACAAACTTTCGAGTTTTCCGATGGTCACGAATCACCTGAGGAGAACCTCATTGAACACGACCCTCTCGGAATTCCACATACCAGCACCTTTGCACTCGCTTGTTGTCAATCGCTGTAGGCCAGGGGCTCCGAAGTTTAGCCCCGGCCTCACATGATCAATGTTGCCACATGTGGGTGTAGCACACATCAGACCCAAAACATTGGGAATTAATGTTGAGACGTCGCTATCCCATCAACGGAAACACCGAGACACCGGCCAACTCCATCAAACACCGACAACATCAACACCACCACCAACAAGCAATCGTGATTCATTGTTGAACGGTATGTTCTGCCTCACATGAGCTTGGTTCCGTTCGCCTCGGCGGCTGTCTTGAGCGCCTCCGATATCTGGGCGAATCTGGTGAAGACCGACTTGACGTTGCCGCCGTCCTCCATGGAGATGATGCGGCAGTGGTCCTCCTCGTTCACCCAGCACAAGACGGTCTTTGATTCGTTGTGGAAGATTCCGCGGTCCTTTGTGCGGGAACGTACATCGTGAACACAAAAACAACCCACAACAAAAGATACGGGGGAGAAACGTCGGAGTGTCGCTCGCAATATTGAGAAACTGGTCTGTCGAGGCGATATCCCTCGTGGTCGGGAAGGTTTCAACTTTACTATCGTACTTGAATGGCCAACTAAGCCAATCGGTGGAGGAAAATCCTTAAATCTCCGTCCAGCGTAGGAGTATCACCCGATTGTACCATCAATTATTTCTCTTCACAGAAATGTCATTACTGGTGGAACAACCCCATCCCTAGATATGTCCACCCCACTTCTTAATGAGACGGAGGCCCTTGCTTTCGGCTATTCGTTTCGGCCGTACGTACACGACTAGAACTGCTGTGCTCCAAGCGTTTGTCGCTCTCACAGTGGGCCAGTTCTTGGCGGCTCCGGCGTGCCAGAGGAGGTTGGTGGTCTTAGGGATCTGGAACAGGAAGCCGTTGGACAGGAGCGTGTTGCGGTCCTTGTCAGACAACGCGCCAAGGTCGTAGAACTTTCCCGCCAGCTCGCCCTCGAACTTCTCGAAGGCTCCGCAAAGCACTTCTCGCACCTTCTTTCGGTCCTGTGTTTTTGAGAACGTAGTCGGCAACTGTCGTTGGTTGTTGTTCTGGTTTTGTGTATCGCCGGCACAAATACATACGCACTGGGCGGGCGGGGAGAGTACGCGGTGACGCACTTCAGCGGGCGTTTGGTTGCGCCGCTCTCTCGATACGGGTGCGCGTGCCAACGTCGCGCCCGTGGATGCCGTTCGGCCACGGGGGTCTTGTTACCAAACTGTGAACCGTCGTCACATTGTGGTTGAAAGCGCTCCAAGTTTGGGTCCGTGTCTCGCCTCGTATTAATGGGAGAACTGTTTAGGCCTTCCCTCGACACCGAACACGCCCTTTATCTGGTACCAACCAAAAATGTGCTAGTATTTTAAGTATTTGATTGAAAGTATCCGCGACAAGAACTCTGCAGTATTGTTGGCTTCACGTATACAACCCTTCGAAGCTTCATCCAGTTCTTCCTCGTCCCCTTTCTTTAAAAAAGAGATGAAGAGAAGTTCCGCTGCCGCAAGCTTGTCCAAAATACGCCTTGCGGTTATACAATCAATTTCTTTTTGTGGTACATCGCGATCGTTTGACACAAAGGCGCAGTACAACGACGGAAAACAGTTCTCATACCTCGTCATCAGTGCCCGCAGGCAGGGCGTAGCCAGAAACATTTCGGGCGGCGCGGATGCGGGTAGACACGACAAACTCATTGAACATGGCCACCTGAAAATGGACGAGAAACCCAGGCGGGCGGGCGGGCGGGCGGGCGAGACGCGACGGCCAAGTCAATTGTCCGTGATACCGACTACTTTCTTTTATCTTTTCGAAATCCATTTTATTGCCGAACATGTCATGTTTAGCCTGGGCGGGATATCTTGCATAGTAACCCGCCCACCGGCCAAGAATCTGCTCCATCACGTGCCCATTCGAGCAGCGGACAACTTGTTGGTGGAAGCAGTGAAGCAGACATAGGTGCAGTGTCCCCTGGAAGTGGGCGAGCGCAAGCGTGTAGGAGAAAAGGCTAGAAAAAAAAAGAAACTGGACTGCATACAGGGCCGCTAAGTTGCACAAAACGGGTGGGCGTCTCAGCAGCTCAACACAGAGATTTTGTCGAAGCTCACAGAGTAGCGGGTCTTCTTTAGACTCTTTTCTTTCTTCCGGAACCTCATTCTCTCTCCGTCCATAGATGGTCCGCGACAATTTGTGAAATGGAGGCGCACAGAAAAAGCGCGTCTTTTTAAGAACATGTTCTTCCAATTCCATAGATGAGGGTTCGGGACAAAAATTGATGGCAACTTCAAAGTGACGTGTGGCCTACCCGTGTTTCTACAACGTCTCGGAGAGTGACATCTCCATTGTAGGTAGCAGGCTCAACCAGGCCGTGACCATGTTGTGTGTCGGACTGTATGTCTTGCAGGGAAAGCTATTGTACAACACAGCAGTACATTGAATTTCGGTGATATTTCTGCATCTGGTCAGAATGCATCCTGCTTCGACGTGCCGACAAGACGAAGGCCGAAGTATTGGTGGAAGCAATCGATGGATTCGGCGACTGAAATCGGAACTTGACGCGTAGGGTTCTGTCGCTTTGGGTGTTGTTTGTGACCGATACGCTTGATGCAATCGTTGGTTCCTTGCGGTTGCTTCTGCTCCGTTTCAACTCTGAGCCTAAAAGCACCAATCATCCCTCGACCTCAGACAATATTTCATCCGAGGAGGTCAACGACCACTTGAGTGGCAGATCACGGGGGGAACCATCAACCATTACAAGGTGTACGCTGACCATCAACGGATGTCCTGGGTAGACTAGTCTACAGTCGTATCGTTCAGCTCGCGATGCGACCAGCAATAATGGCTGCCACACTTTGCTGCTGTTGGCGAGCGTCTGGCTGTCATGGATCATGAAAACGGTGAAGTGCGTTAAGTACCTACTATTTATTGTACGATGCCATGCGGCGAGAACAGAATGCCCACAATCAACCGGCACGAGCTCAACGGTGAGAGGGAGCAATGTCGAGGAGACACAGGCGCACTTACCCCGCCGCTGAGAAATAGATCAAACAAAGCAAACACGTACATGTCTTCCTCACACCTGCTCGTCGGTCATGGTTAGCTTCGACGCGTCGAGGTCAGACGCGTGGCTCTGAGTTTCTGGGTCGAACTGATGCCAACCCTTGATGATCGGGAAGTAGATGTCCTTAAACAGTGCCCACGACTCCTCGTCTCCGGCGGTGATGCCGACACCCAGGTGGGGCGTCATCACGCCCGTCTGAATAGCGCGGGATATTGTGTACCCTTTGGAGGTGGCGCCCGCGGCCTTGAGCTGCGTGAAGAGCTCGGGCGTGAGGTGCTTCGACATGAGTGAGACGTGCTTGTCGGTGAAATCAGGCTTCGTCTCGTAGTCCATGTTGGGAACCTCGGCGTCATTGAGGTGGGTGTTCACGCACTCGAGGATCTCGGCCGCGTTTTCCGAGGACTCGAACAAGGTCTCCACGGCCGTCTGCTGATGCGGGTACAGGCGGTGCTTGACGTCCGCATAAATCTCCTTAAGTTGGTCCTTGGACAGGTCGGCAGATGCCCCCGCTCCCATGGTTTTCGATAGTTGGGAAAAACAAGAGTAGATTGGAAGCCTTCTCACGTTGCGAGGAAAACAAGTGCGGCGGTGCAGCTGGGCACGCAGAAGGTGCAGGCTTGCGAGTGTTTGTAGCGTGGTGTTGGAGCAGGAATGTATGGATAGGTGTTGCGCGGCAAACAGTGTGCTGTCGCCCTCTCTCTGTTTGTGTTCCCCTCTGCGCGAGATTTCCCGGCCAACCACAGCAGTCGGTGCGCGCCGACGTCGATTCGGCGGTTTCAGGAAAAGTTGCACAAGAAATGCCTTCGGAACCACATGAGGACCACCCCCATGTGTGTTCGACGTCATCCTGTGATTCCGCCGCGTCTGACTCCGGCACAGCACGCAGCACACGCCGTCGTCACCAGCTGAGTTGCGCAAGCAAGGAACGTGCGACATAAATGGACATCCCTGAAGGGCGCCAGGGACATCAGGGCGCAACCATGAGGGGGCCTTATACTATCTTGGCTGTGCTCGTGTTTGTCACCCAAGCCCATGCGTTCTCCCCCGGCGCAGCTGCAACACGTACTTGCCGGAGAACCTTGGGTGCCGCCGGCACCGCCGCCCCGTCCGCTCGCAGATCGCCCTTCTCCAGGACGAGGCCAGCAGCAGGAGCAGCAGCAGACGCAGAGGGTCTTCGGATGAGCGCCAGCGATGCGTTCGACGTCAACGCTGCGCTGGAAGAGCTTCGTGCAAGCGCGACCTCCGCGGCCCAGAGTCAGCCAACACCGTCTCAGCAGCCGAGCTTGCCGCCGCTGCCGTCTTTCGAGCTCCCCAAAGGCATCCAAATCCCCACGCCGTCGCAAGTGTTGGATGCCATCCCGAAGCTGACGTTACCGAGCCTTCCGGAGCTACCCGCGGGAGCGGCGCGGCCGAGCCCAGGCAACCTCTTGCCGCCCGAGCTTCTTCTGCCGACTGGCGATACCTGGATATTTTCCCGGCTGTCAGAGGCGGCCACGAAGGCGTCGGAGTCATCCCTGAACGCTGCCTCCAGGCTCCTGCCCCCGACCCCGGACAAGTACGCCCAGCTGGCGACCCAGATCTCCGACTCGTATGGGCGTGCCTCGCTCCAGGTATCGAACGCCCTGGACACCCTCGTGGCGGCGAACCCTTCCCTTGCACCCGCGGTGGCCCACCTGCGGTCCTCGTTGACAGACGCACTCGCCTCACTGGGCGAGGCTTACGCGGCTGGCGACGCCTTGATCCCGGAGGAGTACAAGCCCTTCGCTTCCACCCTGGTGATCGGTGCGGGGGCGACGGCGCTCGGGATGTCCCTGGCCGTCCTCTCGGAGGAAAGGAAGGTGTCGAGGGAGGCGAAGAACGCGCCGCTGCCTCGAGAGTACGACCTCCCAGGTACAGTACAGTGTTTACCTCAGCTCCATTTGAAGCAACAGTAGTTATCTCTTGCTTTGTCCTTACCTGTACAATGGGGGCCCCGGTTTAGCGACCCCCTGTTTAGCGACATGCCCTGCTAAGCGACGCCCAAATCTCGTGACACCGCTGCACCCCGGTTTAGCGACCCCCTGTTTAGCGACATGCCCTGCTAAGCGACGCCCAAATCTCGTGACACCGCTGCACCCCGGTTTAGCGACCCCCTGTTTAGCGACATGCCCTGCTAAGCGACGCCCAAATCTCGTGACACCGCTGCACCCCGGTTTAGCGACCATGTGGTCGCTAAACCGGTCAAAGCTTCAGTAGCGACTTATTGGACTGTTATCATCAGCAATAGCGACCATCGTTTCAATTTTTGCGGAGACTTTGCGTTCCTCCACACCCAAAGCCACAACATCGCGGGACACGTATACACACGCAACATGCCGTGCGTTGATGGGAGAGTTGTGCAAACAGCCGGATATTGAACTGCGGGCACCCCAGGGGCATGTGTGCCATGGTGGCTGCGGTGGACGCCTGCACCGAATGTGTGAGGAGGTGGAGCATCGTTCGATGCACCGCACCTGCCACGAGTGTGTATCCAAGCACATGCAGGCTTCCCCACCCGTCTCGAATCAACCCAAACGCAAAGAGAGATAAAAGTAGATGGAGAGATGGCGGTGTGGGGGTGGGGAATCGATGGCACCGCCGCCCTACTCGGAGCTTTCGTCGCATTTTGGATCGCCAGAAGAGTGCGCGGAGTCGTGTGGGTTAAGCGAGGCAGCGTATTATGTTCAAGGCAAAGGTGTTGTTCATCGAAGCACACTTCGCGAAACCAGCGCGACTGACGGACATATATATGAGAAATAGTTGAACACGATCGGTACACGGGACAGTAGCAGAATGAAGTCACAAGCAGCGCGAGGTTATTTACCGCTTGGGAGTGGACGAACTTTCTCCATGCCATGGTGTTTTATTTTTGTTTGTGGAGGACGTTGCCAAGATTATTTCCTCTTTCCCACCTTTCTTGTCCCCCCCCTCGGTGTTTGCCATCGGGATTGGGTTTTCGTCGCTTGGCAACGACGTTGTAAAACAAGCCAATTCACTCCGTGAACTCGACAACCAGGATACCGTTTTTTTTATTTTACCTCTGTTTTGTTTTTGGCGGAAACCATAATGGTGGTCGAGTAGATCATGTTGTGCGGGGTGGAGAACCCTCACTCCGCGCAAGGGGGATGATCGCACCACGTTGTGTTAAATTGGTTAAGCACCTTCGAGGCAGTTACAGTGCTAACAACTGTCCCTGGAAGTGAAGCTCCAGAAAATAAATTAAGTCATACGCAGCTGTTATCCGTACGCAAGGAAGTAAGCACAAGATGCCGAACACCCTTAGCA